ATATTGTGTTTAGAATTTTCTTTTTCACATACTATGCATTTAATTAAAGTTTCTTTTCCTAATCCTTGTTCATAATACTAACTACTAAGTAAAAAATTTAATTAACTCATCTGAAGAGTTAGAACTACTTGAAACTTCATATATTTCTAATAGTAGCCTCTAATTAACCTAATATTCTGACTTTACCAATATTACTTATTTAAAAGATAGTTCTTTTAGTAAAGAATTTATATTATATCAATTATTTATTAGTACTTCTCTACCTAAATCTGTAATTTTAAATTCTAATTTTAATATATCCTGTGAATTGTTTGGTTTTGAAACAGATCAAATTCTTGAACAGATTGATATTGAAACAAACTCTACTATATCCATAAATCCTAAACCAATGGTTAAAACTAATGCTTTACGAGATATTGTTACTGCTATACAAGCTTTAGCCACTGCACTAGAACAAGAAGGTGAAAAGACTTTAGTAACCTTAAAATACTTTGAAAAAGACAGGTTTCAAGATCCTGTTGAATGGATAGAAGAATTTGAACGTGCTGCTATTGCTAATAGATAAAATATGGAAAGACAATTGGAGCTTGCCCCTGCATATCTTAAAGGGATTGCTCAAGAATAATACCAATCTTTAAATGATACCTAAACTGCTATTTCTTTTAGAACTGATAATGCCCAAGCCTGTAGTTTTTACTATATATTTAAAACTCGCTTCTCTATTTCTACTCAACAAGCTGCCTTGCAAAAACAACTCTTTAATATTCAGCAAGAAGCAGATTCTGTTGATATCTATATTAATCATTTTAAAAAACTTTGTAATTGAATTGATCCTAATGAAAAATTTCTAGAAGATTTTATTAAACAACCTGACTTGGCTATCTATATACAAGTATCCAACTCTGCAAATATAAATACTGCAATTGAAACAATCAGAAGATAGAAAACTAGAAAAATATTAGCTTCTAAATCTACTAGTAAAGTAGAAAATATGATTCAAGATTTAACCAATAGTCTTAAAAATATGAGTCTTAATTTAGTCTAACAAAATAACCAAAAGGAAGCTTATACTGTTAAAAGTGGTTATAATCTAATCAATCAGAATCAAAGAAGAAATAGAAATATAAACCTAACTATTCATTGTTTTCAATATAATAATTTAAGACATATTGCTATACACTATCAACTTAACAGAGAAAGGAATCGTTCAAACTAAAATAAAGATTTTAGAAGAAGATCCAGATTAGGACCTTAAAATTATAAAAGAAATCTATTTAGAAGTCAAGAAAGGTATCGAAGAAATACTTGAGATTATAATCAATATGATAGAAGCAGATCTAGAGATTATAATCGATATGATAGAAGCAGATTTAGAAGTCAGTTTAGAAACCAAGAAGTCTGTTATAGATCTCCTATTCGTCAGTATATCAACTTAGCAGATAATAAAGAAACTATCTCTACCAATTATTGGGATACTCTTTTAAATAATTAGAGGAGCCTTAGCAAATTATCTGCAAGATAACTTCAATATTATAAATCTGGTATACTCTAATAAACCATGAACTATTTTTTTTTTTTTTTTTTTTGGTGTTAAGGTGGCCTCTTGGCCGGCTCCTTTTATTCGGTTAT